TGTTCCATTTATCTGCCATGCATGTTTTTTTGGAATGTAGGAAAGATCCGGAGTACCCAGAGAAAACCCACGCAGGCCCGGGGAAAACATGAAAACTCCACACAGGAGCTGTGATCGAACCCACGACCTCTGCACTGTGAGGTCGATGTGCTAACACAACAGCAACAACAAATATTATTTTTGTCCTCAAGCAGCGGTTGACACTCTGTCAATGGTTTCTATTAACAAAGCTTAGGCAAAATTTATATGTGTCTCATTGTTTTTTATTTCTATCATAAAAGTTCAAGAATTCTTGTTCAGCCTACTCTTTGGATTGGACTGCCATTAAATTCGAGCAATTATCTCTTGATTGTCTTTCATATTATGGCCCCAAAATTTAAATCATCAATAAAATGGGTATTTTGATTAATGGTCTTAGTTTGAGTCTTCTGACTTGCCTGCCATGCCTCCTGGTCAAACTATGAGTGATAGCTTTGGCCCCAAGCACCACTGATTGGTTTCCATCTATCCATTCAGATACTTACGGATTAATTGGAGCAAACCTTAGCATCTTTTCTAGTTCTGTAGAAACTTCTCACATTTTCTCCAGTGACCAACTGCAATGTTCAAAATCTCCTCGGATGCCAGCCACTCAGAACACAGGCACAAATCAGCTTTTGGCTTTACGTGTAGGTGGAGAGTGCAACCATGATAAAGATAGTAAGTGCCAAAGAGCGCTATTTTCCTCTTGAAAAAAAGTGAGTCCACAGCATGTCTAGTGGCTGCTTGTCGTTGTGTTGGGGTTACTGTCAGTAGGAGAGCTTCTGTTTTGGCCTCTCGTGTTTGAGCTTTTACAGATTTTGCCCAGATTTTTTTTTTTGCTGAGAACTAGCGGCTCTCATGTAAACCTGTTTTCTGTCTGTGATAATGATGCCCTGCTTAACTGGAAATACATTTTAATGGCTGGTAAGCAATTGTATTTCTTTCCCTTGCTAACAGTTAAAGATGCTAAATTACCCAACATTGTATTTTAATATTGCCTAATCTTGCACCAGGAGTTGCCAAGCCTAGTGTGTGGCTTTACAAGAATAATTTAAGAAAACATTTATAGCCTTTTCCTGCCCTAATTTTGTCAGAGCACAAACCCATGACTGTGAAAAACTCCTTCTCTCCCCGACAAGGTCGGACAAATACCGTTTTTTCCGCACTATAAGGCACACCTAAAAGCATTCAATTTTCTCAAAAGCCGACAGTGCGCTCTATAATCCGATGCAGCTAATATAATGAGCCTGGAACTCCCTTTACAGTTGCCATTGAGTTGTTTCCCTGTTCCTATGCCATCTAGTGGTGCTTATTAGCAGGAACCAATTGTAACCTCAAAGGGTTCTGCCCGACGCTAATTGACATGTGCATTCGCCAACACGCCCTCAAGTAGACAACTATTTTGTGAGTTCTGCTCAGCCATTATGAAACGAAGACAGTTAGTTAACTACTGATTAAACGAAGGAAGAAGGAGACAAGCAAGGCTGCTAAGGATATTACACCCCTTGTGGATGTGAGCCCATGAGGTTTGTGTGCCTTTTTGTTGAATCAGTTGTCTTTCTTAACTTTTGTCTTTCATTGATTGTTTTGTAATGGCGTTTGTATTCATACTCCCGTGTGTGTGACCAGTTCTCATAGCTTTGTTCCAGCTGCAGTGGTTGTGCATTCTACTGAGCTCCAATTTAGTTGACAGTGTTGTAAACAGTTCAAAAAGATTTGCTACACAATTTTCTACATTAAAACCATGTGTGTGTGATTTGGGAGTACAAACATTCTTTTTTTCAATGTTATGATGATGCACAGATTAAAGGAAAAATGAGGTAAGCATGATCATTTTTTTTGTGATAAACGACTGCTCGTCCTAGCTGCTCAGCATCATACCATTGTTTCTGAATTCTCTATATTCACTCACGGGATGAATAAAGCATCTGTTTATGCATCCATCCATCTTGAAGAGGCCCGATTGTTCATCAGTCCAGAATCAAATATTGGCTGCAGTGGTGTTTTTTGAAGCAGTCCACGAAGACTGCAAAAAACTTCCTTGCATGACCGTGCTGGATTTGCAATTCGGTGTCATGTCTACCAAGGCTTGTTGACTTTGTTCCCTTCCTGTTTTATTAAATAATTATAATTGGCTCTTTGAACCATTTCAACCATTTGGTTCGAGCAAGGTTTCGTTTCTTGATCCCTTAAGTGCACACAAAACCACTTGCTGGCCATGTGTATAATGACAAGCAGTTATATTTAAACCGCACAATGATTTTCACGTCTATTTTGACTCTTGAGAATGATGAATGACAAAAAATATATGATGAAATAAATTATGGACAAAAAGGGAATAGGCCTAAAACAATATATTTGACTGTGTCACATCATACAATGTGAAGATGCAGTATGTGATTCTGCAATCAGATTTCGTACTCTCAATACAGACAGTGGATGGAGTGACACAACACTTTATGATACCTTTGAAAAGGACTCTCCGACGATTTCCAGAATTTGCCTCAGCATTCACACATATATCTGTTGCTCTACACACCATCAACTTTATTATTGTTCTATTTTATTCCTCCCGTTTTTTGACATGTTACTCTTTCCACATTTTTCAACCGATTCTTACCGTTTCCATTCACACCAGCCTCACCCTCTTCCTAAAATTCATGCCGGCTGTGCTTGCATTTTTCTCATTCCAAAAGTTTTCCCAAACTTCAACATTTTTCAACCAAAAAGATCCCAATTCATTCCCAATGGCACATTCATCATTTGACATTTACATCTTTCTAATATGACATTCAAAACCATAAGCAAACATGCCAAAATTTCCCACTTACCAAAAATGACACATTTTCGCCATTAAAATACCCACAACAAAATTTCAAAATTCAAATTTTTTTGTTTTTACTCCTAATTTCTACGTCTTTGACTGATTCAAACTGTTCCAACTTTAAACTGTTCATTTTATCACTATCGAACACTCCCTCTCATTTTCCATGCGTCTGAGCATTCCCACAAAATCTGTGGGCCTTCTTTGGACCACAGCAAGCAACGACAGATATTCACACTAGAGGGTGATATTTTTTCATTAATCCCACAGGTCCCGGGAATCCAATAGGATGGGAGTCAATTTTGAATTTTGACTTTAATCAAGGGTTTGGGACGGTACAGGATAAAAAGTTCACAGGCGCAGATGAGAGTGGGATTATCCAGGAGGGGGGAAAAAAACTCAGACAGATAAACAGCCATTCTTAATTCAGATGACCTACAAAATGGGAGTGGTACAGGAGTGGGAGTTGGTTTCACTGGGAGTGAGATGGGACATGATTTATTTATTTATTTTTTTGTGTCTTTGGGACTGGTAGAAGCCGGGATTTTTTTCTGAGGGAGTGGGATGGGACAGAGATGAAAATCCACTCCTATGTCACCCTCTAATTCACATGGTGGCTCAACCAGTATCTCACCTGTCCGAAACGGTTGCATGTCACTGGTGTGCATTTTGGCCTGAAATGTACCCACACCTTCAGCATTTTCTGTCTTTTTTGAGGAATTTTACTTTTCCACTCCATCAACCACTTAGGCCAAATCAACATTTCAATTTTATGTATGAGGCGAATACAGGTTGTGTTTTTTTTTTTTTTTGGTGTAGTTTGCTCTGTCTATATTGATGTGTGCTGAGGGGAGGAAAACGGTGCATGTGAAATTTCACATGCGCACAGTTTAGAGAGAACATTGGCCACAAGACATGATTATTCTACTCAGTACCACAATGACATAACAACAGGAGTTCAGAACATTCTGATCTGTACTCCCATTCCTCGAGCAAGCCAACGATGCAATGTAAATAAAGTATTTTATCGAGGCTGGTTAAATTGGCACAGTGGCAAATATGGTTAGCACATCAACAAGCATCCTAGCATTACTTGAGCTGTGTTTCCATTTACTGTCACTAAACTGCTCTTGTTGACAGGTTAAATAAAGAGCAAATTAATTGGAATATTGCACATATAGCACATTTGACAATAAAGTTGTACTTGATACTTGACTTGATACTTGATTTTGTTCATTGTGAATTACAACTATACCCTAGTCTCCATGAATCATCACTTTTATTATGGCTAAATTGTGTTATCGTGACTCCTTTCCACAATGTTGTATGCCTTAAATGTGTTAAGTTTCAGACAGGTGCGATTTGTCATGGGTGACGCGGCGTTCCTGCAAAACTAGCCAGAAATAACAACAATTCATTGATACCAGCAATCTTCAGGAGTTGCTGAATGAAATAGGCCTCAAGTCTAAAGAGCAAATGGCTTGGAGTCACTCCATGTGACATTTGGGCATGCACGGCCCTTGGCACTCAAAGGGGTCTAGGAGTACCCATGCAGACCCCTTCGCGAGCTCTATTAACCTAGCACGGTGCTAACTCTTAACCGGCAGTCCACCATATTATTTTGTGAAGAAACTGCTTCGCTGAGATACTTGCTAGTGTTTTATATTACACTTTTTTACGGTAATATTACAATTGTTTTCTTTACTGACATTTTCTCATCATATTAAGTTGTTTTTTTTCAATCACATTTGCTGTTTTAAATTCTTTTTAATGTGGGCCCCTATTATAGAGTTAAATGTTAGTCGAATATTATAAAATAAAATGTTTATTTTTTACTAATAGATCATTGAGCTAAAACTTGAGATGTTTAAGCTGACAAAACATATTTTTATGCCATAAAAGATCTCAGTGAATAAAGTTAAAGACGCATGACTTCCCACAAAATGTCATTCAAACGTAACACATCTTATCCAGTTTTACCTAGAGAGACATTTGTGAGCAGCTGACCTTGACCATATTGTACTGTTTCCATGGAAACAACGTGAAATATACCCTAAATACTTTCCCTATGTGGTGAAAGCCAAAATGAATTTGTTTTAATGATTAACATACAACGGGGGAAGACTTTTTCGGTTTCTCTTATTTTTAACCGTACCTGAAAAGGACTCTGGCTGTTGTAGTTCCTCACTTCTTTATCAGCGCCACGAACAAGCAGCACTTTGGCACAGTTATCCTGGGGAGAAAGAAGACATATTTCAAGAAAGAAGAAAAGGGACAACCCATGACAACACCGAGGCTCTTCAATTCTCCTACTTTGGTCAGGAGAAAGGTCACTTGTCTTCCCGTGAAATGAGAAGAATTGTCCAAAGCAAAAGAAGTCAGTCGAGCAGGAACTGTTTAATATCATCCCATCCCTGGCGTAGGGAGAGGAGAGACAACAGAACATCTACCACCTATGTCAGGAATGCAGCCTTGCTGGCTGTTATGTGTTTTTCTATTCCTCCACTCCAACGATGGAGAGAGGGAGGACGAGAGAAATCGAGAGAGAAGAGCGAGGGAGAAGAACAGAGAGATGGAGACTGCTGAGGGGCTCGAATCTGCTGCACAAATCGCCCACAAAGTGCTCAACCACGCATGGACTGTGCATGCATGCACACACACACACACACACACACACACACACACACACACACACACACACACACACACAAAGACTTTTTTTAGATCCATAACAAGCTATTGAGGGTTAGAAAATGGCTCATACTGACACCAACTCCTATGCAGATATTGATACATACCAAATGTGAGCATTAAATCATATCACGGATACAATTTTGTAAGTGTTACACCAACGCTGGTGTTGTTTTTATTTACACATTTAATGTCACCGTATTAGATGACTTGGTGGCATATCTCGGGTGTATTTTTTTTCATAGAACATGATACTGCAAGGAGAAACATAATACTATTTTTCAATGGATACAAAACCACCATATCACAATCATCTGAGGTGTTGGATTCAAGCATCTTCAGCCATTCCTTAAATTCAACACTGCATCTGAACTTGTGTTTTTACGAGTTACCGTATTTTCTGCACCATAAGGCACTTCGGAGTATAAGGCGCACCTTCACTGAATGGCAATGAATATTTTATGAACAGGAGGGGAAAAAGCTTATCATTCGGGCTGCAAATTGAGGAAGGAGGTTGATTCTCGGGTCGGTCGCTGTCTTCCAGCTCAAAATTGTCATCTCGAAAAAGGAAGCGTGATGTGTACAGGCACGACAAAGTTTCTCGACAGAGTAGCCGTAGTATGGCTTTTGATTGACAGTTGATGGCGGAGTGGTGGGTGGGTTCAGCGTATTCAGCATGTGAGAGCAGAGACAATTTCGATTTTACATGATTTTGAAGCCCTACGCAATACACTTGCTGATATTTTTAATCATTCAATTTGACAGGGTGTGCGAAATTTAAAAGACATTTACTCTTGCTTCAGCAGGGCTAAGCAGAGTTACCATAGTCATTATTGGGAGAAAAAAAAAGAATGCAAAACAAATTCAACTAACAACAGTCCAGTTGCCTCGATTTAATCTCTCCAGACTATCACGATTTGGATGACTGAGAATTTACAGAGAAAAAAAAAAACACAATTTTTAACCAGGATTTTTAAAAAATTGACATTCGTACAGGTAATTCAAATAAAAGAGGCAATATGCACATCACTTTTCAAAAGACTACATTGACGCAGTGACATATGATGTTAGTGGATTCTGACAACAGAAGTGAAGCTGAAGCTTGGGGGGGGGGGCATGGTTGTGGCTTTTTAGCAAATGCAAATTTCGTGTTCCAGTCCTTACTGTCCATACACTGTAATCATAACCAAAGTCTTTTCAGTCACATGCTTTACTGCCACCCAAGCAAAGTTACTTACGTCCGAATCACCGCATTCATTGTGACTTAGACTGGTTCAAACACTTACCATGTTCAAAGACATTACTCAAACATTGTGTCTGAGGTGAAGGTTTCCTTTATTAAAAACTTGTGCACTACTAATTGTCTGTTCATAATACGCAATTTAACTAACTTCCACCTGGACGAAATCGAACCAGCAGACGTGGTCAAAATTGAAAGAAACCACAGAATGTACCCATTAAACAAACACAAATGTGTGCCCGCATGCACAATTGCACAATTGTACGGTTGCACACACACGCACACACACACACAGTTTTAACATTGTCTTAAGCTAAGCATTCATTCATTCATTTTCCGAACCGCTTTATCCTCACTAGGGTCGC